CTGGAACTTTTTGTGTTCATTCCCGCCAACGATTGAATAATAAACATCGGCATTGACCCCGGTATCTTTAGACGTTGCGAGAACTCTTGCCACTTCCGTGCCAACCGCATAGATCTCAGGAACTTTAGAGAAATAAATTTTGGACGCAAATTCCGGTGGATTATCATTGATATCTTGAACGTTGACGATTAACGAAGTCATGCTCATCAATTGAGGGGTTCCTTGATCCAATGCCTGGATAGTCACGTTATACATCGCCTTCGTTTCTCTGTCCAATGGTTTGCCAAGCGTAACGATGCCGCTGTCCGTTGCGATGAGGAAATGGCCATCGGCGGAATCGATAAACTCGTATCTGATCTTGCGATTAATGCCGATATCATCATCCGTGGCATGCACTTTCGTTACTAAAGTACCAACTTCTACATCTTCCGGCAATGTTGCACTGTACGTTTGCATGGTGAATTTGGGTGCGTTATCGTTCAAATCTGAGATCAAGATTTCTAACTGAGATGAGCATTCCCAAGATGGCTTGTCCCTATCCTGCACATGAGCTGTGAGTGAATACTTCGCTTGAGTTTCTCGATCCAGCTGACCAATCGTCTTCAACACGCCTGTCTCCTTGTCCAATGAGAACTTGTCGTTGTTGTCGCCGGTTAAATAGAAACGCAATTTGGCATTCGGTTCGTCATCGTAGTCAGTGGCGAGCACGGTTAATACGTAAGTGCCTGGATGAGAACCCTCGGACAGAATTTCTCGATAACGATACCTCAGACAATATGGCGGATTGTCGTTCACATCGAGTATTTGTACCGTTACTCGTGTTTTGAAAACGTATTTACCATCTGTGCCGACTATTTCGAGTTCATAACGATCGATCGTTTCCCGATCCAGAGATTTTGCCACGTATACCTCGCCAGTCGATCTAATCTGAAACTGGGATCTCGGGTCACCGGATGTTATATAGAATTCTATAGGTGTGTTCACGTCCGAATCCTTGTCGACGGTGATCAACTTGACCACGACAGTTCCTGGTAATGCGTCTTCGTTTACAGTTGCTTCGTAACGATCATCTACGAACGCGGGAGGATTGTCGTTATAATCTTTTAGTTTAACGTGTACAGAAGTTCTTGCGAAATGTTTTGGATTTCCGTTGTCGGTGGCGACTACCTAAACACGGTAAAGATTTATATTTAATAATTAAATTTTATAAAGAACTATTCAAATTAAAACATATGGAATAATGAAAATTATATAACAAGAAAAAGAATTGAGAGAGAAAGAAGAAAATTTGAATTATCAATAAATTATCTTATTAAATTGTAATTGTAGTTTTTAATTGAACGTACTTGAAATTTATATTCGGGTTGTTTTTCCTTATCAAGTTGAACTAATGTCGATATCCAGCCAGTATATGCATCCACCGTGAAAACATTCGCCAATTCGCCTATGTCTGAGCCGAAAGAATATCGAACTTCTCCATTGCTACCTAAATCATCATCGTGCGCGATAATTTTCAAAATCGATGTTCCTTCCTCCACATTCTCCGCCACGCTGATACCATAAGGATTGCTTTCGAATTTAGGAGCATGATCATTTTCATCTAACACTTGAAGCGATATTTCTGCAAGAGCTGTCAATGGAGGACTGGAATCCGTTTCGGCGAGAACTCCGATCAAGTGATTATCCTTGTTCTCTCGGTCCAAAGGTTTGACTAAAGTAATTTGTCCATAACCATCAATCATGAAATACGGAGAATCTTCGTCTCCAGAAACTATTCGATAAGTGACTGTGCTATTGGTCACGATTTTGAGCCTGGTTATTGGTGTACCGACAGGAGACGCTTCAGATATGAAGAATTTATCCTCTTTTCGTTCGAATAGAGGTGGAATATCTTGTGGACCCATTATATAGATGCTGAGAGGAACATCAGCGTGATGAGTTGTAGCTCCACCTTTGTCTTCGGCACGAATGAAGAGCTCAAATAATTGGTTTTCTAGAATATTAAATACAAAGAAAAATTAAGTATAATAAAATATTTTAATTCAAGTAATACATAATATTACTAAAACTATATACATTATTAAATTATTAAACTTCAATATCTATAATAATGTAGAACTTATAAGTTTCTTACCCCATGATATCGCACTTTTCTGCAGGAACAAAGCTCCAGTATTAGGATTTATTCCAAATAAGGCCTTAGCTTCCGAAGTCTGTGGTTCATAAATCGAGTAAACGATCCTCGCAGCGTCATCCTCATCGGCATCCTTAGCCTTCACTTTCAAGAATGACGTATTTATGGTCAAATTCCCATGGATACTAGCTTTATATTCCCTCAGAAGGAACACGGGTGAATTGTCGTTCTCATCCCCAACTTTAACCCTAACCATCACGAAACCTGACCTACCACCTCCATCGGTAGCCATCACAGGTATTTCATACAATTTCTGCTCTTCCCGATTCAATTTCTTCCTGGTCACAATCTCTCCTGTCAATCTATTTATATCGAAAATCTCTTTCATTAGTTCAGAAGGTATGCTGTATACGACCGTTCCATATTCTCCGAAGTCATCATCGGTGGCTATCACGCTGGTGACCAATCTACCAGGCAACTGATTCTCGAATACCGTTACTTCGACCACCGGATTGGGAAACTTAGGATTGTGTCTGTTGGCAGGTAGTATCTCGATCTTGACACGTGCGAAGCTCGTATAAACATTATCGGTGACAGAGACGTTTAGCATGCTCAACTTTTTTTCTCCAAAGTTCTGCATGTTGATCAATGAAATAATGCCAGTTGATTGATCGATGTTGTACGTTTGTTGCTCGTTGCCACCGACTATCGTGTACGTTAGTTTCTCGTCAACGTAGTCCGGATCACTGGCGGATACCACAGTCACGAATTGACCCCGTTCCGCGTGTTCGGACAGCGAGCAGGTGTACGAGGGTTGCTCGAACTTGGGTGGGTTGTCGTTCATATCGATCACCGTCACCCAAACGTGGGCAGTGCTCGAAAGACTCGGTACGCCGCGATCTATGGCTATTACGGTGAAGTGATGAGACTCGTGGGCTTCGTGATCCAGAGATCTCTTCAAAAAGATCACACCTTCTTCCGGGTCTATGTGAAACAGATCCGTGCTGTTTTCCGTGTCGTTTTGAATCGCATAGCGTACTTGTTGATTTATGTCTAAATAGAAAAGAATTAATGATTTCCTTGTGTTCTAATATTTGTAATACATCATTATAGATTGATGAATAGTATTCAGAAATATTAATAAAATCTGTGATTAATATTTTAGAAAATTATTAAATTATAATCAGAATAAACTGTAATTACAAAAATGGAATCAATTTTGTTCACTGTTTTCAATAACAAATTGTTAGATGAAATCTTCTTATTAGGTAAAATTATTAGATAAAAACGAGAAACACGAGCTCCTATTCATCCTTTTCTCGTTTCTTTTTCATTCTCGTACAATTATGTAACAGCTCAAAGTATATTTCATCGCGATAATCCGACTTTGGTATCCGCCTCACAAGAGCATCCTTCGCAATAATTACAATAACATTAATCTTGCTGCAACAAGAGTGTCTCCCGTTATTTATGAGCATAACCAGAGAGACTAGAACTCTATTCTTCCTCTCTACTTCCTTAATAGTAATTCAAAATTTAAACAGAGTTTCGTCAAGAATTCGATTCCGATTTCTTTAATTCATATTCGAGTATATATGTGATATATCTTATTGTATTTAAGTTTAATCAAGTTGGTAAAAATAATGATCATTAATTACAAATATTTCTGAATATTAGAGAATGTGATAACTTAATATATTATACATTAATAAGAATTCAAAAAAAATCTATATTAGATTTAATAAAAGTTTAGGATACAAAAAGGTTATAAACGAAAAAATTTCAAGAAAAATTTCATTAATTGATCGTATAAAACAAATAATCATTTGAACAAGTATTAAAATTGAATTATTGCAAAAATTTTAATTTTTATAACATCATTCCTTTTTTCCACTTTTCAATCTAGAATTCTGTTATTGTGAAAAAAGAATAGAACAGAAAATTTCAAATAGAAAATTAATATAAAATTAACATCAAGAAGTTACACGTATCTTTCTTCAACTTAACAAACTTTTTAGGAAAACAAGGTTTATACGAAGAAGAAGGATTGAAAGGATGTAACAGGATTTCTACTACATTGGAGCTGGACTTAATAACCACTTACCCGTGTCGTTATCTCTGGAGCTGACTCTCAACACGGAAGTGCCGAACGGCGCTGCCTCGGATACCGAGATGTTGTACGAGTCTTGAGTGAATTCGGGCGGGCAATCGTTCACGTCCAGTACCAGAATGCTAACGAGCACCTCCGCGTAGACGCCTGATACGCTGTCCGTCGCGCGGACGGTCAGCTCGTACTGCTTCTTCTGTTCGTAATCCAGCTCGTCCACCACGTAGATTACACCTGATTTATCGAAGAGAAGATTGTAGACCCAAAAGCATTCTATGCAGCGGTAGCGTCCACAAAGCCGAGAAACTTTTCCTTTATGTTCGTGATGCTGAATAATAGCGTGAAGGATTCGTGTCTGTCTAATTTGTGTCGCGCTATGCTTTTTAGATTTTCTTGTATATATATGTATACTTCTTTCTATTCTTTCTATTTTATTATTCTTTTTTCTCGGATAAACATGTCGATGCGCTATATCTCTACGAATCTTTCCTGAATTCTTTGTTACGACGTACGTGTATATATAAATAAGAAAAATAACAATTGTTAAATTGATCATTTTACAATTGATCTTAATACAAAGGATCTAATGTAAAATTTTTCTTTATTCTTTTTAAAATTATCGAGATGCGATAAAGTTTTATAATTTTTTTTACAAAATAGTTAAAAAAAAAATATTGGAATACATGAGAAGATAAACTTTTGATAAGATTTTTTATTTATTTATTCTTTTTAATATTATTGAAGTTAGATATAATAATATTATTTGTATGTCATAAAAAACGATTTAAAAGAAGTCTCATTTAAATCTATGTGGAGATTGCACATCGACAGGTTGACTTTTTCCTTTTAAAGAGTAGCATGGAAAGCAGCGTAGTTTATCGATGCTTAAACTTAATGCGTGGAATTTAATGAGGTGTAGAGATGTGGTTCTCATTGTCTTTTTTTTTTTTTTCCATTAATGATGACTCGGATAATTGAAGTAGTTGCTCGGTTTCGCGGACACCAAGAAGAGACACTGAATGCAAGTCACGTGGTAAACACGTTTATACAAGACGGTTGGATACCGTGAATGAATTTGCGGATGCTACCAGAATGTCTGCACCTTCGAACATGTTGTGCAACTTAACAGGTTGACTCCATTCATTTGATTGATCTTTTTCTTTGAAATATATGGAAAAAAAATATTGTGTAAGATTACTTCTTGAGATCTCTGTACATAATATTTTTAATAGGATTGAAATATTAATTACTTAGAAAATTTTTAGAAATTTTTTTATCACATAAATATTCTTAAACAAAAAAAATTTATAGATCATTTTCTTAATAATAAAACTTTAATATTTAATGTAGATTATAAATTTTAAATTGCATGAATTTTTATTTAGCAAATTATTATTAGTATATCTTATATTTTCATTATTCCAATTGTGAAACGAATAAATTTTTTATTGAGAATAATACTTTATTATTATAAAAAATTGATATCAAATTACATCTGACAATTTTTTTAAAAGTATCATTTTCAAACCAATTATTTTACCAATCTTCAGAAAGATAATTTTTAATTTCAATACTCGCAAGAATTCTAATTAAAAGTAATCAAAGTAAGATCAGAAAATGTTGCAAAACGAAGGAAATGCAATTTTGCAAGCGGGATAGAACTCCGTTATTCTTGATCGATCTCAAGAAGTGAATAAGCGAATATTTCGTCACGTATCGCAGTCAACCTGTTACAAACGAGTTGCCTGTTCCCTTTCTCGCCATACACATTGTAGCTCGTTTAAGGTACAAGCACCGTATCTTTTTTTCGATTCTGCACGCGACGTAAGGTGCAGGCACGCCATGCGAAAAATAAGAGTAAAAGCCGCGAGAATCACGGTGCTTATAAATAAAAAAAAAAAAAAAAATAAGAAAAAAAATTGAAAAAAAAAAGAGAACTAGGGAGAGAAAAAGTAGTGTACCGATGTTAAGCTCAGCATTGAGACGCGATCTAGATTGCACTGGCTGCAAAAACATATTTGCACATATTAAGTACTAAACTACCCTATTTTCCAAATAAAATACTTTACTCGTTTCCATATCAAATTTTTATAATATATTACATGAAAATATTATCGAATTACATGTCTGGAGCAGAATTTCATTTCTGAATTTTTTCCAAGAGGTTTTTTTTATTTTTATTTTTGAAAAATTTTTCAAATTTTTTGAAAGTATAAGAATAATAAAAAAGAAATAGTCAACATAAACGATTTATATTGTCCATAAAAAGTAAAAAAACACATAGATATTTCTCAATAAATATAACTGTAATTATAGTAAATGTAATAACGTGCAAATACTTTTTGCAGCGACTATGTCACCGCGAGGAGTGTGGTCTTCGTTAACCACGTTAACCACGTATTGGCGTTTAAAAGCAATAATGTGCTCCAAACCCGTTTTTCACGCGGCTTCGTTGCTTCTATATATGAGATAATAGGACCGGTTGGATGGGAGACGGTGAGTAAAAGTAAGTGCAAAAATGTACGATCAAAAGCGATCTTCTTCTACTTTGGGAAAAGGAGGGGGGGGATTAACATGCCACGTTCAGTCTTACTCTTTCTCGGATTTAATCTTTCTTTTTTTTTTTTTTTTGTTTTTATACAGAATCGTGCATAGTCATTGACAAGCAGTTAAATGTCGTGAAAAGTGACGGACATCGTGCACGAGCCGTGCAATTATGGAAGCTGTGTATGGCAGACGAAAGTCTCGACCGCCCAAGCGGGCGTTCCGATTTATATCTCGTGTTTTTGGTCATTTTTTTTTAGACGAAATATGAAAATACAAAATTTTCTAAATTAAAAAAAAAAAAAATGCAATCGGAAGATTTCTGGTTACAAAAAAATTTTCAGATATTTTTCGAGAAATTATTATTCGTCCAATTCGAGAACGATATATTTTAATATAATAGAAATGAACATATGTCTATTATTTACGATTAAACACCGACGATTTTCGCTATCCGTTCGAATTCAAAGATCGATATCTCGCGTGAAATCTCGCGGATCGTTGTTCCTCGTTATTCTAACTTACTCCGTGACGTGGTATGCAACGGTCATGATATTAATCCAATGGATAACCGACAGGATGTGGATTTATCGCGCTCGAAAAACCGGCAGCCGAAGGAAACTTGTAGTTCGTTTTCGTGCATGAAAATCATAGAAAGAAGAGAGAGAGAAAGAAAGAGAGAAAGAGCAGTGCAGTAGCGTGATACAGTGCAACACAGCAGACCGATAGAACTAGTATTTTTTATACTCACAAGGACCATTGTTACTGTCGGGGGCTGCGAAACAGGGAGATACAACAACACTTTAATTTCTAGTTTAATCAGATAAGCATTCGTAGAGAAATAAATTATAAGGGAGAGATTGGTAAAAAAGAGAGGAGAATTAATTGATTAAAATAAATAAATAAACTACTATATAAATAAATAAATAAATAAATAAATAAATAGTAAATAGCGGAACGTACGTAAATTTGAATTATCGTCGGGAATGGTATTAAATTGAGATATATAAATATAATTGTTTATGATTAATTCACGTACGAACAAATTAACCGTATAATTGTAACTGCAGCTTGTGTTACGTGCGATACATTCCAACATCCCCCAATTTGCTACTGTTGTCTCACCACTACACCGTGACTTGATTAGAATTTAGTCACCGAAATACCATGTATACAGCGGAGCCAACACGTCATTCGTTAAAGTAGAAAGCGCGGTTGTTTGTTGCGTACGAGGTTATCGAGATAAATCATTTATATTTAACCCTTTCATTGCTGTTGCCCGTTTTCACAAATGGAAAGGATTTGCTCGATCATTATATGCGCGTATATAAAATTGATAAATCGACATTGATAAAACAGAAACGAAAACAAATTGCCTTACAGCCATAAACGATTCAAACGTTATCAAAAGATACGTATCGGGCAAATTATTTCCCGCGTGTTGGGTCGATTATCGCTGTAAACGTAGAGAGAAACTCATCAGGTCTCTCATCGAGTGAAATTCATTTTCAGTAATGAAAAGGTCGAAAGTTATTATTATATGTGTCCCACAGCCGAGTTGGAATTGAGAATCCTCAGGAGACGTTTCATTCGGGACTGGATTTAGAGGATGCAACGTACTCTGATCGCGCGTTTCGAATGTAACACACGTTTTTCGCCGCTGTCGTGACGCAATTTGGAAAAAAATATATATATATTATTATTTCTCGTGAAAAAAGAGATAAAAACAACTACGAGAGAGATCTCACTCGTGAAACGTGTATGTACATATCTACTGTATCGTATCTTGCATGGAACGATGACGCAAAAAGAAAAAAAAAAAAGAAAAGAAAAGAAAGAAGAAGAAGAACGACGAGAGAAGAGAGAGAGAGAGAAG